GATGGATGGATGGATGGATGGATGGATGGATGGATGGATGGATGGAGCTGCACTGTCCAGGTGAAATGAAGCTGTTTGAACCATTATATAAATGCATAATAAACGCGTCGGGACAGCGGTGATGTAAAACAAGTGTGACTTCTACAACAGGAAACACGGTACTTTAATGATGTTTAGCTGTGGAGTCATTGGAAAATCTATCAGAACACTTTTTAAAAAACATCTTTCTTTTCTGATCACTCCTACCAAAGAAAACCCACAAGTTATTTAACATATATGCTGCATCTTCATACTCCTCAAAACCTTCTGTTCATCCTCATCCGTTCCACAGTGAGCTGGTCGACTGCTCTGTGGCTTAAATTTGACAAAATTCAGTGTTTCAGCAGTTTTCATCACTTTGATCACCATGAAATTTATTTGGGATTGCACATCAATAATTAGGATGTGATCTTGTGGTGTCTGCTTGAAGTCAAGTGTCAAAACGGTACGTTTAATTTAAATCGTTAAAAAATGAGCAACAAATTGACACAAACTCTTCAGATCTGGTTGAACCAACATCCAGTGCATGTTGCGAGGAAAGCATGAAACTTCATAGTTTTACGGTGATTGGAGCAAATAAACCTTTTTGATTTAAAAAAAAACAACAAGTTTTTAGAAAATGTACCAAAAACAAGCAAGACTTTAATAATAAAATAAATGTTCGTGTTCTGAAGTATTTGCTGAAAGGTTCTGGCAGGGTTCTGGAGCTGGATGCTCTTAAAAACAGCTGGAGGAGTTAAACTGATTTAAATTCTCTTTACGGAGTTTCATAAATTTAGTTCCATCGCTACAAATCGAAACAAGCTCTTCTTTTCTATTGAATGTGTGTGTGTGTGTGTGTGAAACCCAGGATATTTTAATCCACACACTTTATAACCCAACCCCATAGCATGATACAACTTTGTCATGCTTTACTATAGAGAGGCTGATTTGTTGTCACCTAAAAAAAATAAATTAGTTTGATGACTTAAAACAATTTTCACCTTCAGAAGCACCGATGATTCGAACACCCAAGATTTTTATGTTCACTTTTCTTTTTGGTGGATCAGAACAGCACCGACCTGACAGCACAGCAGATCCCCCTGAAGTCACCCAAACGACATCAACCCGTCCAAATGTGGGGCATGTGCATGTGCCACCTCAGAGAAAGGAGGGTGAGCACGGGGCCCTGTGTTGGATGGAGGGCGCCCGCTGTGCTCTGGTGTTCTGGGAACAGGACAGCACACACAGCTGCACCCAGGGGGGTAAATGCAAAACAAACATGCCTCACACATGCTTCCTCCTCAGCTGTCAGGGCTCTGCTTTCAAAGATTTAGCCCCCCCCGCTCACTTCCACTGTGCCGGTCGGTCCAAAGCTGCAGGGTTCGGGGGCACAGCCGGCCCAGGAAGGAGTTTTAATGAAGGCCGAGCCGTGAGAGGCTGCAGAGACAGGATTGAGTGTCAGGATGGACAGGACCGCTCGTCTTCGGTTCAGCTGCTCAGGTCGACACGTCAAACACCAAATTATATTTTTGATTCATTTAAACCTCATGGCTGTTGCATCGAAGCTCCTCGAACAATAAAAACACTCGTTTTTTACGGTTTGTATGACTGTAGCTTCATGACAACACCTCCTGCTTTACTGCAGCCTCAAATGATATAAATGTCCATTTTCTTTTACTACTGAATCAAGCAATCAGTAAAGAAATAAATGTATAATTTAATGTGCTGGTTTATGTTTTTGCATGCACAATAGATTGAAGTGTTACAAAACCCTTGGAAATGTTACTAATACGATGCCGTTTTATGTTGTTTATTGAAGTATTTTAAAATATCGTTTTATTAAAATTGGCTGGTTTCTCTCTCGTTGGATGATTTTTGGAAAGTTGTTTTTCAGGACGGTGCGGCTTAAAGAAGCTGCGCTTTCAACTGAATCTGCTCATGTTTGTGCTGATTGTTTGATTAAAGTTCAATAAGTTATTGCCATTTGGTTTGGAATTAATTTGTTACAAAATAAGATGTCAGGCGGTTATTACAGCCCCCTGCACTCCCCGGCAGAATAAAGTGCATGTTTCATGTATGAACTTCTAAACCACTGGTCAATATTCCGTTAACATCAATGAATCCACAAAGCTGCTCCAGACAGACGGTGTAAATGTGCTCCACCCTGCGGCGCTCAGCCAAACGTTGTGTCGTCCCTGCAGTCACCGTCTGAACACCCACAGCACCCGTCCCTCCGAAGGGACACGAGCGCTGAAATGAGATCTCCTAACCCGCGACTGTCACGTTAATTGAAGCCGACAAAAATACGAACTGCAGCCTTTTGAACTGCCGACACTGAGCAGAGGATTAGGCAGCGAATATTAAGAGCAGGTGACGGGAACATGGTCGCATGAAGTCCCGCTCCGGACGGGACAGACGGAACCAAAGGCCGACGTGGAAAAGAAATGAAACGTCTTACATCATCTTCTTTCCATCTCACTCACACGGACAGAAATATATGGAGACGTATTAATGTTGTCTTTACTTTATGTCATATACAGCTTGATGCATGATTTTGAATTGGACAACAATGATGTGAAAACAGTAAAACATCATTTTAAAGACTGCAGCGTTCAGTAATACAGTCTAAATACTGGACATGAAATGAATGTGGGGAATACAAGTACAACAAAAAGGCCTAGACAAATTAAAGATTGAATTTTCCATAATTAAAATACAACAAAGAGTCAAATGTAAGGCAATACGCTGATGAAGTGCTCGTAACGAAAATGACCCGGGAAGATGCTTGAGCAACATAATCACTTCTCTTATGCACATCGATATAGAAATACAACAAAATACTTTCTCAGGCTTTACAAAAGTACATTTAAAAAGAACGTCCGGTAGCAGATAGTTTTGTCTCAATTCAGCAGTTACTCTAAATCTTTGATTTATGAGACCAGCTTTGTGTCAGAGCCCAAATGTGATTGTGTAACAGAACATTCACAGCACAACATGTGTGTGTCATCACAATCAATCACCGTGTGAATAAAGCCTGCAGAGAGATGTCAGCATCATTAATCATCTATTTATTACTTTTGTCTTTTTATACAGGACACCTAAAAAGAATCAGATTTGAAAAGAACAAAAAAAGGGGAGTAAAAAATGGTTGGTGTTATAAATTAGGACTTTTATACAGCTGCAAAATATAAATATGTACAACATGCACGTTGAATCCAGAGCCGTCAGTTGTGACCGTCTGCAGCTTCATGTAACATCCATGTTTGAAACATGTCACATTTTCCATGTAAACATGACAAACGTTACGTTAAAGTTCACAACTAATCTGGTTTCAGTGACATTTCAGGCTGAAAACTAAATGTCACTTGAACTCAGAGTGAACACTTGACTTTTCATTTCAATACTGATATGTTGACATGATAAATGTTGGAGACCAGACACGCGGTGCTGAGGTTGGGGGGGCGTCCATACTTTAGATAAAGCTGCTCACAGGCTGCCGATGTTGGGGAAGCTTTTGAGCTTCTCTGGAAAGTCGTCTTTGTAGAGCACGGGGTCCGCACGGTGCTCCACCACTTTTAACGGCATCGTTCCAAAAACAGACGCAAACTTGTTGATGCACTCGGACCTGGGGAGGGAAATGTATTTCAGATCAGGATGAACGTCAAATCACTGCTTTTTAAAAACAATTATCTGAACTCGACCAACTTCTTTTTAACATCAAGTGTACAGTGAGAAACTTGTTACTGATATTTGATTTGTTTTATCTGCTGGGCGTCGTTGAACGCCAGCAGGCGATGGAACGTCTTCATTCGATGTCTTTTCAAAAATTATGCTCAGTTTTTCAATTTTCACAAAGAAAATTGAATTAAAAGTGATTCTGGTCCCTTTAAATATTCAAATGAAGAGTTAGTTTTAAACTTGTTGAAGTCCAACCCACATAAATCGACATGTCTGCGTGTGACAGAAAATCTAAACGTCAAACTTGTTCTGCTGCTTTCACCAACAAACCATCGTACCTCTCCACCATGTGCGTCTGATCCAAGGACAGTCCATCAATGGCAGTACATTCAGGACACTTGAACTTTTTCCGGGGGGTCACCTGAAGAGAAACCAAAGTCGCCCCAGTGAGACGTGCACACGTCCATGATTTGTTCACGCTGCGAGGCTCAGACAGAAGCTGCTCTCATTTCATCAGCGTTTGACTCAGAACCCAAACAATGAACTTGTGAATGAATGAGTGGAAAGAGGAAAGTGAGAGATGGTGGACACGGTTAAAAACAATGATTTACGTCTAAGGAAACCTGCTGGGAGATGGGGGGGGGCAGGGGTGCAGGTGTAGGGAGGTGTGGGTTCATTGATGTGACAGACAGGTATGCTCAAACTCTAAACATGCTCAGAGGGGGAGTGGCAGTGAATGACACCCAGATAAGGAGGTCAGGCTTAACCACAGGACCCCTGCACCTGGGGGAGACAGTGTGTGGAGGTGAGGGGGGAGAGGCGGTGGAGTGGAAGGGTGAGAGCTGATCAGAACCAGAAATGTTGCTCTGCTCCTTCAGACTCCCCCTGCAAGTGTAAAACAACAGAGGCAAACAGCTGGGACTGCACCTTTATGGGGGCTTTTCCTGTGACGTTCGCCACCAGGAAGTTCATGGCAATATCTTCACAGTTCATGTGCGCGTCCACCCAGTTCTTGATGTCCCCGGGCATCTTGTACGTGTACAAGTAATTGTAGTACTGAAACAAAAGCAGATTCAACTCTCACTGCAGTGAATATAAACGTCTTCACTAGAAGAAGCTTTACACTCTACGGTTACAGTTTCTTTAAAAAAGGTTCTATTTATTGTTGCGAAGCCACGAGAAGCTCCTGAAAAATAAAACTTGTGTGAAAACCAGAAGAGCCTTTCGAAACGCAGCCAGTCTTCACCTTGTGGTAGAAAGCAGCTCCTGTTAGGACCATGGAAACCTCGTTGGTCCACTCCGACTCATACTTCCACTTCCCCATTTCATGGTCCCAGAGGTGCAGTCGCCCCGGGTAGCCCACCAGCCTGTCGGGGAACTCTCTCCACACCTGCAGGGAACAGCAGAACAGGAGACGGACCGTCTGATGTGTTCGGCTCCGACGAAGCACTTTGGTTTAAAGAAGAATGATTCACATGAAGTTTGAAAGCTCAGGACCAACAGTTGTCTTCGTCCATCAGTGTTCACTCCTTCAGCTTGGAGCCCAAACAAGAATAATCACAACTGAACTTTAGATACCAACAAAGCCAGGAGCAAATAAACAAATTAAATAAAAAACTGCAGGACAAACAGTTTTGTGTACAACAAGCCTACAGCAGCAAATTTCTGCCTTTTACACAAAGTCAGGTGTCATCAGTCAGAGGACTCCTCGGTTCTGCCGGCAATTGCAGGTAATTACCCTTAAACTGAGCACAATTTGATTCAATAGGTTTTAAATGGATTCAGGTGATTGTGCAGCACAGAGTGGGGCCGGTCAGGTATGAGAATATGGAAAGCATCAGCTGCAGCCCCGTCATCTCTCTCACCACATCAAACACATCCAGCAGGCAGTCGAACCTCCAAACAGTGAAAACTGTGAACAGAATCTCTGTGAGCAACTTTGAAACTCCCAGATCAAACTGGACTTTTCTTTGCACAACCTGCCCCCACGAGAGAGACGATCAGTTTTCTCCTCACCTCGTAGCCAAACTGCAGTTCATCAGATGTCAGCATGATGATGTCATCATCAATGGCAAGCACCGCTTCTGTCTCGATCTCATCGTAGGGGAAGAAACGGTTGCTCAGTTTGTTCTCTTTGGTTCGCACGACTTTCAGAGGAACGCCAACTTTTGGCCAAAGAGACTCTGCCAAAACAGAAGTATGACTCATTTACTAAAACAATAAAATAATTCTTGCTATTAACTCATTGGCAGTAAACTAACAAAGTAATTTATCCATCTTTTATTCCAAAACAGCCACGTTTTGCTGGTTTATATTAAATTATCTGGCCATGTCTGCCCTACTAACAGTAAACTGACCCTTTCTGAATATAAGCTCTATAAATCCAAACGTATCGGTGTCTGAGGAAGCGTGTACGCTTATGGTGTTATTTACCACACGCACAGATTTTGAACTGCAGTGCACAGTTGTGTGATCTCAAACTTGTGATTGCTCCACCAACCTCAAGCGCCTGTAACCACACGACAGCTTCTCAAGTGGTTTTTGTTCAAAGCTCTTGGGCAGTGTCCACGGCACGGACGACAGCAGAGACGGATCACACGGGACGTGTCCCGTCACTAAAGGACCCACTGTGATCCGGCAGCTTAAAGGAGGAGCCCCTAACCATGGCGGATGTCTCCTGTCAAACGCTATTGTCAGAACAACTTTGATGTGAATGCCTTAGGTTTTGTTTTTCCACTCTTCCCATGTTGCTGTAATTCCTTCTTCTATTTCCAATGTTGGGGGAAAAGAGTAGAAATGAGAAAATTATGAGCCATTACATGCATTTTACAAATTTTAGCCCCGAGACATGTTTCAAACACAGCTAACCAAATCTCCATGTTCTGAAGCTTTGGTTTCGGTTTATAAATGGGCCTTTTACAATTATTGCTGCTGTGGAAGTTAGTCTCAGCAGCTGTACAGATGTTGAAAAAGTCAGGAAAAAAGAAACAAATGAAGAGAATCAAAAGAACCTAATGTAATTTCTAGTGTGTGCCAAAAACACGGTCTTCAAACACATCAGATCAATTCACGCTGGCCCGTGTGCCGTGGGTGCCGCCCGTCAACAGCCCCTCGTTAGTTCTAACGGGACACAAAGCTGCAGCCAGGCGCCAGTGAGGACTTTAATAAAACTCACAGACATGAAGGAACACTTGAAAGTTGTCAGTCTAATCTCACTAAAACTCTTGGAACAGCAGGACGTCAGATTTCTACCATTGCTGGATTATGGTGCAATCTAGTTTACTGGTGGTATCGTGTCGTTCAAACAGCAGCGTGTGGACAAACCTTTTGATTTATTTTGTTTAACTTTTATTTATCCAGGTCCGTCTCATTGAGTCACGAGGACTCGTTTTCAAGAGAGACCTTGTTTTAGTCAGATAACACAAAGTGTAGACAACAATAAACAACAACAAAAGTAATAATAAAGTTGTTTTGTGAAAATTGGTATTGTTAGCATTGTAGTGCCGTTAGCAGTGTGGTGCCGTTAGCAACATGGTGCTGTTAGCGGCGTGGTCCTGTTAGCGGCATAGTGCTGTTAGCAGCGTGGTGCTGTTAGCAACATAGTGCTGTTAGCGGCGTGGTCCTGTTAGCGGCGTGGTGCTGTTAGCGG